CCTTTTGGGTTTTCCCTCTCGGCACATTCAAATTTTTCATTGTATTGGGTAATACATAGGAACTGAATGTATGAATGCTCGTGCAGAAGGGGAGTTTTGCCGGGCCAAAGAATTGACAGCATTCAATGTCGGAATCACAAAGCACACAGTGCGGAGGGCCAGACGGGCCATCAAATGTATAAAGAGGCCCGTGTGCTGTATTTTGTTCTCTGAGACGCGTCACAACATTCAAAATTAAAATGCATAGATGAGTGTAGACGACGGGGGAGGTTCGGGAGAGAGGCAGAAAAGCATAGAGTTAGTATGCGGGCAGAACATCACACGACACAAGGCACAAAATGACGAAAGCGAGATATTCAATCACGAAACAGGCGTCCCAACAACGGGGACGTTCGTGATAATTGAAATCCAATGAGAAAGAATGATATTGTCGACGACCAACACGCCGGGGACATGACAAGTTCGCCCGGAGATTTCCTGGCAGTGACAGCCAGTTCTGGTCTGAACCAAACCGAGAACATCCACCAGTCCCTCACGGAAAAAATCAAAAGGAACAAATTTCGTCCGGAGAAGAACGAAATATTCTTCTACGTCAACCCTTCTACACTACATGATCAACAAAGAGATAGACGCTTACCTACCAACATCGCAAATCGCCAAAGATAGTCTAGCTCTGATAGAGGAGATGTGTCTATGGGAGAAAGCAAAAGGTGGACGTAAACCTCTCGCCAAACAGGAAGCGAACATCAACATGAACACCCCACAACTAGCCCCGTCGTACTGCCGAGGGACACCTTTCACGCTGACCTCGCGAGCGAAGTGGTCGAAAGTGCGACCATCACCGGTGGCACCTGCCACCGTGTTCAAAAATTTAACAGTTTTATCCAGAAGTGGGGAGTAGAAGGAATCTTTGGATGACAAACACGAGAAAGAATCATAGATTTCCAAAACACGTCTAGAGAAGTCAATGGCCAAAAGGCTCCAGTGTTCGCCGTCCTTGTGCACTGGTGCCAAGACGAGGTCATGAGATAGGAGGTCGACATCTTTAGCCCATCTGAGAACAGCTGCCGGACCTCGCAGAAGCAGTGAAGAGGCGAAGAAGGAGTTAAAGGTGTATGTCTTCATGATAGCGGCAGTCCGGCCGCAGTCGTCCAGTAGCATCGCCATGTAGAAATTGACAACCTCATCGCTGAGCTCCCCGGATCTATCCACGAGTGCGACGATGTCCTTGACGGATACCTGTAAACTGTGCGACGGCAAACGCGCGACGATGATAATGAGCGGCAATCGGGAATAGATAACGTCTTCAAGGAGTGGTCCTAGCGGCCATGGTCCGAGGAACCGCTTCTCTGGGGTCCAAAACGTTTACGCATAACGTCACCCCTACTTCTGGACCTTCTATACACAGCTGATTCTAAACTAGCACTGTCCTTTATATCCCTGCAAGCCTCGAGAACGAATTCCTTGCAGTCTTTTTCGGCAACACCCGCTGCCTCTGCAACGAGTCTTGCGCGGGAGCCCAATACGGGCACGACTACCCTTCTGGGAGGGCCTCGAGGCTTAGTGTCCCCACGAAACGCATCAGTGACATTGCGACGACCAGTGCCTCCCGCAACCAGGACTGACAACCTGGCGAGGGCAGGC